ATAGTTACTTTTATTAGAGTGAATGTATGACTCCTCTCCTGTTTACTTTTGGTTTCATTTATTCATAATGGGGGGGCAGAAACAGTGTCTGTAGGATATTGTGGGGGTGACTCTGCCCCTGGTCTCAACTCTGGACTGTCATGGTGTTGACTCTCAATAAACTTCATTCAAAGTGGGATGAAAGCCGCCGGCTGCTCTTGCATAAGTACACACAGAATCAATATTGATATTTGTTCATGTTGTTACTGCCGACGTGAATAACAATCTTACTGTATTTACCCTCAGCCAGCAGTTTTAAGCATGACTCTACGTTCTGGCCCCAGTAAAACATTTAACTGTGTTCGCCGGTGTCGCTAACTTCTATATTCTAATACCTTATCAAACAGTTGACTGTACCTGGCTGTGCGTGAGAGCCTTGTTGAAGACAGCTGTCCTGGTTCCTAATAACCCAACACCCAGGGTGTCCAGAATCATCCTTTTGCTCCTGTTAATCACTCCATCTGTCAGCTGAGCGGTGCTGAGTGAATGGACCGCAGCTCCAAAGCTCTCTGTTATACCCTGGTGAGGTGAAGCAGGACCAGTCAGTCCAAAAACTCTCACAAACCAAACTCCAGTTCAGAGACTAAGAAACTGAAAAATGCAGCGTTTATTCGTTTAAAACATGTTGTGAAATGCTGGAAAACGATATGAGAAAATCTGTATCAGAAGAAAAGGTAAATGTGTGATACCTTGCGAAGCATTGTTGCAGCTCAAGTATCTCGTCCAATGCCAGATTATTAATGTGCAGATGCCTTTTATATGCCATTACACGATCTGAGGGCTGGACTACCAACTTTCCAAACTGTGTACAAACCCCCAGGATGAGAAATAAGACGTTTTACATAACTGGTCATCATACTTGATTCTTTTATTTTCACCTCTTGGTAGATGATGTATCGGGAAATCCACTAAACTGCTTTGTTTTGATTTTAAATGTCTGAGTTTAAAATCTCCATTTAAGTTCAGAAGGAGAAGTGTTTAAAACGTCAGATGAGGGTTGACTTGTCAGGCTCTTTCACAACCCGTTTTGTCTTGAAATGACAGACGGTGGGAATTCATTTTTTTGCAATGGGAAGTTCTGAACAGGGAAGTTCTCGAAAAAATTACCCACTGACCATCACAAGACAAACAGCTGTCAAACAGCTAAGAAACTGATAATGACCAACCTGCAACTCGACTTCTCTTGTAACAATGCACAAGGTTTGTGATGACTGTCACCCTGCACTGACACAACACATCATATTCAAAGCATGCTCCTATGAAGGAAATCTAACCAAGATATAATATGACACTAAAAGTTAATAACAAGTCTATTAGAGGTTCCCAACAACAGCCAATAGAAAACTGGAGATGCAGCTTTTGTAAATTATGCTCTGAAGTTGCTGAACAGATGGCAGCGAGATATCAGAGAAACTGGTTCAGTAAACTACTTAAAAAGAAAACTTAAAATATGTCTCTTTACTAGATCTTGTACTTGCCCGCACTCCTGCACTTTTATCAATTTTTTTTGGATTTTATTTGTTTTTTTATTTACTCTACTTTAACATTTCATTTTAATCTGTTCTTTTATGTGAATGACAAATTTTCACATGATTTTATTTTTATTATTACTTTTTCAATTTTATTTCAGCTACTTCAGTTGCATTTCCCTCAGAGCTACAATGGGTGTCACTCTTCCCATATTTTCCTTCCGCTGCTCAAAGCTGAATAACTTGAACCAGCTGCATGATTTGCGATCATGTGTGTTCCTGTGGGATTTGAAGAAGAAAAAAAATCCTCTCATAAATGATTTGATTCAATAAATAATCCATAGAGCTGGAGAACAGGCTAGATCTGTATTTATACTGAAAAGGCCAAGAAGAAACGAATGACACATAATCACATGTAGGTGTTTTTATGATTTAAGTAATGCTGGAAGAGACTGTCTGTCTCTGTGAGTATTTCTACTTATATCTTTGCAAGGACCATTTTGAGCATAGAACTTACAGAGGGAGGATATACAGGGGGAAGTTAGAGTTAGTATTAGGTTTAGGCTCAGGTTATAGTTGAGCTTAGGTTTAAGCATTTGATTGTTACAGTTAGAGTTAGAATTAGGTTTAGTTTAAAATTTGCTACAGTCAACTTTACACATTGAACAATAAAACTTGACTGTGTGTGTGTGTCTGTGTGTGTGTGTGTGTGTGTGTGTGTGTGTGTGTGTAGTTATGGCAGCCAATTTTGGCTCAATACCATCATTGTGAAGACATTTTGACGTTGTGAGGACATTTTGGCCTGTCCTCAGATTCAAAGGGCTGTTTGAGGGTTAAGACTTGGTTGAGGGTTAGAATTAAAGCTCTGTGATGATCTAGGAAATGGACTATGATTACAACAAGACTGCTTATTCTAATCAATGTTGTAAATACTGTTATTTTGTTGATGTGTTCAGTTTTACCCTCTGTTATTAGTTGTTGGTATCGTTTCACTGTGGAGGGATAAGAACAGAGGATGTTGCACCTTGTTACACCTCATATGATACATATTATGATTTGTGAATATGGGCTATACAAATGAAATTTGATTGATTAATTGAATTAGGTTTAACTTTAGGGATTTCGTTGTGATAAAGTCAGGATGAGGGGCTAGGGGGATGCATGATGCGTGTGTGTGTGTGTGTGGGGGGGGGCTCATACAGGACAACTCAGCCATGTAACAGTTAAATATTAACTTAACAGTCAACACGTCATGCACGCGCACTCACGCACGCGGTAAGCCCAGGCTTCATAAACAAGCCGCAGCCTCCTCAGAGTCTCCACTGATCCCACATCAGTGCAGCGGCGCACACAGCAACATGGCACTGGCCGACACTGAGTGCGGAGGCTCCGGCTGCGGGGACTCCGGCTCCCCGTTCACCGAGATCATCGAGCTGAACGTCGGCGGACAGGTGTACGTCACCAGGCACAAGACTCTGGTCGCCGTCCCGGACTCGCTCCTGTGGAACATGTTCAGCAAGAAGTCGCCCAAGGAGTTGGCGAGGGACAGCAAAGGGCGCTTCTTCCTGGACAGGGACGGCTTCTTGTTCCGCTACATCCTCGACTACCTGCGGGACCTGAACCTGGTGCTGCCGGACTACTTCCCGGAGAAGAGCCGGCTGCAGAGGGAGGCTGACTTCTTCCAGCTGCGGGACCTCGCCAAGCGGCTCAGCCCCCGGGTGAGTAAGGATAATTCAATCAGCGAGGAGATCAGCCACAGCGACACAGAGGAAGGCGCGCAGCTGTGCGGCTCCTCCGTGGGCATGGAGACTTTACGCGCGATGTCGATCACCGGTGCCATGCGCTCCCCGTCCCTGGACTCCAGAAAGTCGGGCTACATCACGATAGGATACCGCGGCTCCTACACCATCGGGAGAGACATCCAAACCGACGCCAAGTTCAGGAGGGTGGCGCGCATCACGGTGTGCGGGAAGACGTCCCTGGCCAAAGAGGTGTTCGGGGAGACGCTGAATGAGAGCAGGGACCCGGACAGGCCCCCGGAGAGATACACGTCCCGGTACTACCTGAAGTATAATTTCTTAGAGCAGGCGTTTGACAAGCTGACAGAGGTGGGCTTCCACATGGTGGCCTGCAGCTCCACAGGCACCTGCGCCTACACCAGCAATGATCCAAACGAGGACAAAATCTGGACGAGCTACACTGAGTATGTCTTCTGTCGGGATTAAAACTACCCACGTCGTGTTGATGTGCATATAGACATAGAGGGGGGTGTGAGTCTTTAAAGGTGTTGCATTTGGCAAAAGTCGAGAAACTCCAAAAACATATATGTCCCCATTATTCTTTAAATAGCCAAGTAGCAGTATTAACCCACTCTGAGGTTAACCAAGGACACAGAACCCCCCCAAAAAAGATGGAACTCAACATTATGTCAAGAGAAGATTATGCAGTTTGCATTATCAAAGCGAGCAGAGTCAACCCACTCATCCTAAGGCCCTGATGCCTGGAGAGGACCAATACAATGCCATCATCTCTATTTCATGGAACTGCATGTCAACATTTCAGTCACATCTGACCGCTGTGTGAACTGAGCAGCGTCCAAGAGCAGACAAGCAGCGATTAGTATTCAGTGTCATTGTAATTTCTAGACTTGCTTGATGACATGTTTGGCCAAGTCCTGTATCACCAGAATAGGATCTTGTTGCAGTTTACATGACATGATTGTAAGTGTACGTGCTTGCCTGGTAGAGTTGTGTTGTTAAACCTGTTCAGATGAAATAAAATCTTCTACTCTGTTATTCCCAAGCCCTGTTGCCAGTCATCCCATCTTCTTCTTGTTGAACAAAGTGTATAGTTTAGCACAATACTGGCACCCGCCGCTCCTCGACCATCTTTACTCATCAAAGCGTCTCGCCCTGCTCCAGAAACCAGAAACTTTCCAGAAACCCAGCTCAACAATATCTGAGTTCTTGACTGATGCCAACCATGAACTTTCCTTGGCTCTGACTTGCATCACTCTTGCAAACTGCTCTTTCTGTTTTTCTGTCCATCTCCACCCTGTTATTAAATCACACAAGAAAGAAAACCTCCATCTCCTGCGAGTAAATATTGCAGGAGGATCCTTCGCCACCGATTCTGTCACACAAACTCAGCCGCTTGCCGTGCGGATGCAAAATAGTGCAGCTGTGCACACATGATGTCATTATCATTTCAAGTGTAAATAATGAAAGGGTCCAGCTGCACACAAATAGGAGGGTAGGGTCTGCCAGGGCCTGTGGATGAATGGGGAGATGATTGGTGCACCTCAGCTGCAGAAGCAGAATTATTTGACTGTCCTGTGTACAGCAGCCTCAAATTATGTGTGTTTCATTCAAAACAATGGTGAAAAAATGCCCTTACATTTAGAGCCATGGGCGGAATTATGGACGATCAGGGGCTTATAGAGCAGAGGCAGTGATGTAACCTCCGTGGGGGTCCGGGGACATGCTCCCAGCGGGAAGGTCGCTTGGGATTCATGTGGTAAATACATCAGCTACACTCAAATGTGCTGTTTGGACAGGAATGAAAATTATCTGTGGGAGTTTGATCTCACTGGGGATCATCGGAAATGAGTTTGACACATGAGAGAAAGAAAATCAAACTAGGTTAAACGATGGCTGGATTCCATTTGGCTGCTTCCGCTCAAGAGGTCCTGTCTGCGGAACCCATGAACTCAAAAGAGCCTTAACCTCCTGTGCTTTTCAACCTGAGAAAAAAAAAAAACGGTGTTGGCTCCATTTACATGAGCATTAATAGTTAAACAAGTAAGTTAAAAATGTTAAGAGGAGAGCTTTCACTGAGTCTATAAATATAGTTCCATTATAGCCAAGTAACATTATTACAAAGAAGCTGAAATTAAAGAAAGTAAAGGCTCTAATATCAATAGTATCAATGCTTTCTTTCCTAAGAATTCTCTATACTTGAGTTAAGCACTAAGACTCAGAAAAGCACACTATACTTGGAAACCTATATTGGTCCTGTGTCTTGCTTGGGTATTTCCAGGAAGCTCAAAATTGACCGTTACCTCTTTTTTTGGTCTCAATATGACAGAAGAAAAAAATGACAGAAGCAGATGACACACACAGACTTGTCGCAGGCTGAAACATTGATAGTTAACTGTACAGATCACGGCCACAGCGGTGGTAGATGTGAGAATATCTGAAAATAATTCTTTGTTGCATTTTTAACCTGGTAACATTCTTGCTGTAAATGTGGTACATCTTTCAAAATAAAGATGAAATTTGAGATGAAACAATCTAGACAGAAAATATCTCTGTATTTGTTTCCTATGATGTTCAAAAGAATTAAGGATGATTTGGGGATTTGAACCCTCATGCCAACCCCTGCATGATCCAGCCCCCCCCCCGCCATTAATATTTGATAATATGTTCAAAAGCTTAAATTATTATAATTTTTTTTATCTCCAAACGGTCAATGATTGTTGTTGTTTGTAACAGCCGTCATTGGATGAATGCAGGGAAAACACCCAGGATCATGTCACCAGTCCGTCACAGATATCAGCCTCCAAACAATCACTGACTCACAGCCACATTTATACACAGAACAGTATGAATCTGCACCACACTTCAGGAGCGTGGGAGGAAACACATTTCAACATGTGCAGCAAAGGCTGTCATTCACTGCTGAACAAATCGTTCCACAGATTTAGCAACGGCCCTACAATCATGCATATATTAATAAAACATGCTTCAACAGTAAAAACCAAATCGCCAATAAAACCATGAGAACCACTAAAAATGAAAACATGATATATCATGATATATGATGGAGAATATCTTGGAAAATCTGTTTTCTGAACACATTTCTGTTGAACTTAATTTTGACCTAAAAGCTCCAAACATGAATCCTTTGGTTAAACACTCCCAAGTAATATTTCCAACAAGTCCCAGTGTTGTTGACTTATTATGTGCATACACACACAGGGGCCAAAACATTGACGGCTGACAAAACAACCAATGAAATTCTAGTTATAACATTGAATTATGAGAAGAAAATATGAGAATAAGTTTAACAGTTTAGAGTAAATACACATTTACAACAGATTTCAGTTGCTGAGATTTACCATCAATCCCTGTGACTGTGTTGCTTTTCAGTAAAATGGAAATACAATGAACGGGTTGTCAGGTTGAGTGATGAGCAGAAAAAAAAGAAGGGAGCCATGAGACAAAATGAGTCGAGGACAGACAACTGTAGGATAAAGAGCTGTCCACTACCGTTACTGTTCTTTCCTTTCTCACAGTCTTATTTCTATCTCTTCAATGTGCGTATGCTCTGCATCGAGCTGCCTGACTCGAGTCTCTGCAGATCAGCACTGTTTGAATTCCATGCATGGGTCCAGCGTGCGCTTCGGCTTCCTGAGTTATTTTAGATCAAAGTGGGTTTCATTAGCACATCACAACAGTTACTCTGGACCAAAGGCTTCATTATTCAAATTAAATTCTGAGTCAGAAATACATTTTCAATTTGACTTCACAACAGGGGATAGGCATCAGTCAGGGTTCAGATGAGGGTGGTTCCCGCTGTTGTGCAAAGGCAAAACATTCTGGGGTTCCTTCAGGTAAAGAGGCTCATGGTGTTCACGGAACCAAGGAGCAACAAGAAAATCCATCAAAAGGTGCCGCAGCAGAAGATCATTGAAAATATTGTCTGCCTACTTTCAGTTTTAATGCAGAGCATTTGAGAGTGCTATCCATCTTATTCAAAAACTAAACCACCAACCAATCAACCAAACAACAGCCAACCAACCAACCAACCAACTGAACCAACCAACTAAAACAACCAATCAACCAAACAACAGCCAACCAACCAACCAACCAACCAACTGAACCAAACAACCAACAGCCAAACAAATAACTAAATAAACAAATGAACTTACGAAGAAAACAAGTATTAAAAGTTGTACAATCTTTGTTTCAGGAAAATAAACTGTAATTGTTGTGTAGATCAACTACAGAGAACAGCCAATATCTGCTTACTCACACCCAAACACAGAAAGAAAGCAAAGAGGGAAAAGTTCCGTCTCACATTACCGAAGGACTGAACATTAACACTGAGGCATAAATGGAATCCCTCTTGCTATGAGATAGCAGCTTTTGTAACAACAACAACAATATGAATAATACTACATTAATGATAGTAACAATTATTTATTTAGTCCAAGCTGCAGCTCAATCCACTGTGACTACTGTGTACATCTGCCTGCATTTAGATCAAAGAGCTAAATCACAAATGCAAGTCAGACACAAAAATATAAACAAGATATGTGAAAGAGAAACACTGTGTCCCTACTGAGGCGTAAGTGTGATTGCATTGCCACTGGAGCGGCTGCTGCTGATATTGTTATAACAGCAATAACGCAACGCTAAGCACGTCTCACATATGGCAAATGATGTCGCTGACAGTGCATTGCATAGAGAACGGATTTTCATGAGAGTTTTCTAATGTTCACTGCACTCTTTATTTTAGACTCATTTTATTTCAGACGTATGCCAGACGACGGCGAATGCCACCATTTTCGATCAGCAGCCTCCAGACTAATTCAATGTGTCCTGATCGTCTGAGCCGAGGTGCCGCTCCATCTATCCATCCGAGGGGCCATTAAACCTCCCACCTGTCACGCCAGCCGAGTTCTTTTGAAAATTACAGTCATCAAATAGAAAATGCTCAGCTGCTGTGCACTCCTGGAAAAGCTGCTCTACAAACCAGGACCTTTCATTTCAGAGTTGTCTGCATTACCAGAGGGCAACGCTGAACCTGATTCCAGATACCTGCAATCTTCTTCTATTTGATCCCTGTGCCAAACATTGGTCAACCTTTTGGATGCAGATCCCTTTTTGAACTTCTGGATTTCATAGCCTTCATCAGTAAATGAATAAGAAGTTAGTAAGTAAAACTTGAGTTTAAAGATGTTTTCACTGTCATGTCAAGAGTGAACTTTTACTCTCATATAAAGTTTGGAGTTATTTTTGTCTCTCAATTTACAAATTAAATCGTTCGGGACACAAGTTTCATCTCTTTGTTTTGGAAAAAGCAAAAAGTGCTTAAATTTAAACATCTAGTTCTGTACCACATAATTCTTAATATGTACTATGTCATGTTTTGTACTTTGCCATATACAAAATATGAGATTTTATACAATATCACATTAAGTGTACAGTATAATTTCATATTTTGTGACACATACTTTTCAATTTGGTCCATATCAGATGTTATACAACATGTGTAATGTCATGTTTTGTACGACATACTTTACAATAGTATAATGTTAGTGTACTTCTCCTTCTTATAGACTGGTGAATGGCGCTCCTGTATCTTATCTAATCAACCACTCAAAGTGCTTTTCACCTCAAGTCACACTCATAAACACGTATTCATACATCTATCACACATTCATACACATTTGGAGTTCAGTATCTTGACCAAGGACACTGTGGAATGTTGGATCAAACCATCAACCTTCTGGTTAGTGGAGAACCCACTCTACCTCCTGAGCTGTTCTGGAGTGTCTGAGTAACCCCATGACTGGATTCTTGCTGTGGTTCGTGGTTTTCACATGAATTCAGAGGTTTGGGTTTTGGAGCCACTGCTCTAGTCTCAGGTTTTCCACTGCTGGGTTAGTTTTGGAAAGAAGTTTTTTCTTTGTAGGGCCCAGAATTACAGAGTGCAGTAGCATATTAACTTTGAATTCAAATAACAAGCCACATGCTCTGGGTTTAGAAATACTCTTGATTAATGTACTGGTGTATTACTTCAGACAGAAGTATAAAGCAGGATCAAGTGGAGTTATGCAAATAACTGCTGTGCTCTGCAGCGACAGCTCTGTACTGATGCACGACAATACATGGTAATTACTGCACAACCAGGGGAAAAGCAATTAATTCTTAACGGCTCTTTTTCCTCAACTTTCAGTGTCCAACTTTCCTTAACTCACACACACACACACACACACACACACACACACACTCTTCTCTCAAACAATATTGTGGGTGCAATTAAAGGAAAACTTTGCTTTTGTGATGCAGCAGGGATTTAAAATTTAAATCAAAGTCTTTTGCATTAGACACATCAACCTGTTTCCAGAAGTCTTCTCTCATCTCTGGGCTTTAAAGTTGAATTTTTTCAACCAAAGACTAAGTTGTCTCCAGTTTAAATGACTTTCACTTGGTTGATGCACAGTTTTTTTTGCTAAATGTTTTACCTATAGTATATAAAAGAATGTTTGAAAGGATTCCAATTGATTTCTGTGGAGGTGGCTGGGAGAGCACCTCCACCTGGACCAGAGGATCAATCAGAGCAGGTGAGAGCTGTTAGCTGATTGATGCTCTGGTACAAAAGGCAGCAGCAGCAGTGTGGCCTCAAAGAGACATGCTCAGAGGACAGAGACAGGCAGGGAGAGACACGTGGAGAGACTGAGACTGAACGCCTGAGCTGCAAAGCTAGTTGTTTATGTTGAGTTTGATTTATGTTTAATGATCCATTTAATAAAGTGATGCTGCAAAGCAACAGTTGCGTCTCTGGCTGTGTGTGGGAGAGGCTCATGGCGTGGTCAAGTGCTCCCAGCTACTTCCACAATTTCATACAGACTAATGGCTGTTGTTTTTAAATGTATTTGTCTTTAAAATAACACAGAGCAAGAGAGAGAGAGATGGGCTGGATTCAAACCCATGACACTCCAGACAGTAAACAGCTTTAATGCTTAGTGCTTAACCAGGTGAACTACCAGTGTTCAGCTAGGTCAAGCTGACATTTTGCCACTTCTCATTGGCCTCTCTCTAGCTCCCTGTAAAATAGTTTTTGGTAAATAGTTAGGATTCAGGTATTAATACTCTAGAAGTGCTGATGGATCTTTTTTATTCTTCGAACACAGGCCACTCCCCCCTCTCTCAAAAATATGAAACTACTCTTTCAAACCAATTTAATTGGAATAAATTAGCCAACAGTAGTTAAGCAAGTCATTTGATCTCTGTTGACTCTTCTGCACTTCACTGCCTTTTTCACTGAACTGGATCAAAGACTGTAATATCATGTATGTGGACATTAAGAGATGCTTTTATGCAGCGCTTCTTTTCTGGAGCAACTAAACATGAACGCAAATCACCCACTCCTGTAATGTGGGCAGCTACAATTCTCAAAGTATTCTTTTGGCAGTAATTACAAATATTTGAGTTGTGCTGTGCAGCCTGAAATTAAGAAAAAAAACTGGTTTGAATTTCATGCAAAGCCCATCGTG